GAAAGATATAGAATAAAATGCAATAACACCCGCATTCCTAATCTGATAAACAATACAAAAACAAATATAAAGATTTCAAAACATCACACATTTCACACATACTTCCTCATAAATTTCTATGTAAGAATCTCATACAAAAAGAATTCTTATTTTTTTTTCAGTATTCAATCAAAGTATATGCTGAAAATGAAAAAGGTCTATTACCATTTTTATAGATTCAGCCAGTGTATTTCAAATGTAAAGAAATTATCCATAAAGAACAGAACATTGAAAGGCAAATCTACCAACACATTGACTAATAAATATATGAAAGGAACACAATTTTAAGTAGCACACACTAAGAAAAAGCAGAACAGCTGAACAGATTTTAAAATAAAATATTATTGTCTTCTATATAGATGACAAAATTGGGAGGTAAAAATTGATAAAATCAACAAATTTTAACCACAATATTATCATCATCAATTTAAAAAAAAATGTAACATAAATAAACTACGTCACAAAAGTCTGTAATATGTTTTTCTAATGATTTGTATAATAAATGAATTAGGTTAAATTAGGCAAAAAATGAGCTAGATAGTTTTGTCAATGGCTTTAGGACTGAATAAAAATATCTTAAAATTACAAATATGTACAAAGTCATGATATGACACTATCATATTGGACAAATATGTATTTTCATAACATCTATTGCGTAATTAGATATTAACAATAGAGATTTTAAAATAAAACCAGCCATTTATTTACTAGTACTTCTCACTTTTGAGTCATATTTTGTATTTTATTTTATTTTTTAAAATTTGTACTATCTACTTTTAAAGAGATACATGCAACCACATGTAACCCTAGTTTAGTTCAAGAAAAGAAAAGATTAATTCAGATCGTGAAGCCAATAAGCATCCTGATTTTGAATACGTGAACAAGGTTTTTTTGACATTTTATTTCAAATCTTTCTCTCTCTCTCTAATCTGTAGTCTTTTCTTTATCTTTCTTTCACCAAACTGTCCCGCCAATCACCAGTAACTCTTGTATAGTTCAAGAAAACAGAAGATTCATTCTTGAAGACTTCCCAAACTTTGTTTTGACTTTGGCTTTGATGAATTGGTTTAGGTTATGAGAGAAGATCGTGAAGCCAATTAGCAATCCTGATTTTTAATACGTGAACAAGGTTTTTTGACATTTTACAATTCTAAGTCCTATCAAAATATAAGCCACACTGGATCATGGATATCTCTGAAGTCAGTTCTACATTGGTTACTTATTTCCAAAACTTAAAGGTATTATAAATTTAATTGAACTTTTTGTATGTTAAATATTTCTATTTGAGCGTTCATAATCTCTATTGAATTCACAAATTAAGGAAAGAGCTAAATCGAATTTTGTTTTTTTTAATTAAAAGGTTTGTGATGATCGTGTTCTGAAATGCATTAATGTACCATTGAAATCTCATTCGAATAAACAAGAGTCACAGAAGAAAGATATATACATGATCCATCGAAAAGAAGCCTTGGAGATGATGAGGTAAGATAATATTTAATACTTTTATTTTGAAATGATGAGCAAACTTTTATGAATCAAATTTAATTTTAATTTTTGTACTTACTTGAACATACATTTGAAAAGAACATGTAAGGTAAATACTGTAATTTGTTTTTCTGATGACTTGTGTAATAAATGAATCAGGTTAAATTAGGCTAAATATGCTTACCAAAAAAAAAAAAAAATTAGGCTAAATACTGATTGAGAAAATTATATTTGGTTTTTCTTTTTTATTAATTTCATTGTATTTCTTTGTTATTTTTTTATGGGAAAAATTATACTTACACCCTATTTTTGTCTACAACCTTTTACAACCATATCTTAACTGTCGATTTTCGTCAATCAATGATTATTATTTTCGCAAATCAAACTTATTAATTAATTTTTAATTTGCAATGAATGATAACCGTTGATTGACAGAAATAACGGTTAAGATATGGTTGTAAAATGTTGTAAAAAAAATAGGTTGTAAGTATAACATTTCCCTTTTGTGTTGACTCTTGTAATTTTGAATGTTTGTTAAAAATTCATATGGTTTTTTAAAATCTTATAAATCCATATTGTCCTTTCAAATCTTATGAATTCTATTAAAATCCTTTAAAATACAATCCTGCGAAATCTTGATTGTAAAAAAAGTCTTTTAAAAAGTCTATAAAGTCTCTCCAATTCTAAAATGTCATTTAAAATCCGTGGGATTTTTTTATCTTAATACTCACCCCTTAAACTCAATCTCAGCTGTAGTCAAATTAATAATGTCAAAATAATCACTTTTAATTTTTACAATTATCAAGTCCTATTAAAATTTTACTCAACCCATATTATTTTATGGATATCCCTTAACTCAGTTCTACAATGGCTACTCATTTCCAAAACTTAAAGGTATTATAAATTTAATTGAACTTTTTATTTGTTAAATATTTTTTATGTGAGAATTCAAAATGGCTATAGAATTCACAACTTAAGGAAAGAGCTAAACGGGGAGTATTGGTTTTTTAAACATGTTTATATTTTATTTCTTGTACTCACAATTTTTTTTTCTTGTATTCTCAAACTTCATATCTTCAAATTATATTTTTAAAAGGTTTGTGATGATCGTGTTCTCAAATGCATGAACGTATCATTGAAATTCCTTTCGATTAAACAAGAGTCACCAAGAAAAGATATATACACGATCCTTCGAGAAAAAGCCTTGGAGATGATGAGGTAAGATAATGTTTAAAATTTTTATTTTGGAATGATGAGTAAATTTTTATGATATAAATTACTTTTATGTAAGTATATTTTTTCTTAAAAAATTATCTAAAACTTACTTTTTCTTTTGACATTTTAAAACTTACCAAAAATGTAATTCACAAATACTTTAAGATTCTCCCCTACTTATGTTGCGTTTTCTGATTCATGTCTCCTAATTTGTAGTTGAATTCAGCATTAGTGAATATTGTTATTTACTTGCTACGGTTTTGTAACCACTCAATTTTGTCCTCACACATAAAAAAATATACAAAATTAAAAAGGAAAAATAAAAAATAAAATTGTGAACACCTTATTTTGTCAGGATATATTTTTATTTTTAATTTTTAAAGATGTGTACAACAGCAATTGTTTGTTTTAAAATTATGAAATCTATTCAAAAATGTTTCTAGTTTTATCTGGCTTCTTAATTATTTTTATCTAAGTTTGTTTTATATTTTTAGTTGTAAATGAAAAAAGATTAAAAAGGGGAGACTGTTTAAATCTTGCTTTGTTTTACATAATTATTTTTATTAAAAAATAGAAAAAATTATAAACAAAAAAAAGAACAAAAATTAATAAATGCTACAAGACAAACACCCATTAAGGTCCCAAAGCAAAGCGCAAAGGACAAGTACAACGCGCAAGACGCGATGCCCTCATCGCGACAGACAAGACGCGATACCCACATCGCGTATGAAACCCCCTTTAGGAAGTAAACTTAAGGCCCAAGGCTTAACTAAGGCAGCATCGTAACTACTATATAAGAAAACGATATACCACCAAGGTACGATCATCTTTTACATTAACAACATAAAACTCTTGCCTCTGATATTGACTTAAGCATCGGAGTGTCTTTGCAGGCCCCCCCATTTGGTGTTAACGTGCCAACGTGAAGGAAAAAGGCAAAGCGCGATCCACTACGTAACTCCAAGCCCAGATCGAAGAACTACACTCACAACTAAACCGTGTGTGATTAGGCTCAGTACATATTGGCCAGTCCATAGTGTATTTGGTCTGATCATTGGCGTCGTCTGTGGGAAGCTATCTGTTAGAACCCATCTTTCTCTAAAAACATGGTTGACACTCGAAGCAAATCCCTAAATGGCTCCAAAGGAAAGCGGAAGGAGATCCCTGCTTCCCAAGCAATATCAGCTTCATCGGTGGCACCAATTCCCATCCATCTGGATGACCCACCGACACCCCAACATCTTTTGGACCTTATCACACAACAAAACAAGAAAATCGCCCAGCAGAATTGAGATTTAGCTCGATTGAAGAAAGCTCAAAAGAATAAAGAACAAAACCAAGAAAAGGGAAAAGAAAAAGATAAAGACCCTGAGAAGGAAAAAAATCCCGAAAATTCTGATGAAAGTGAACAACCTCATGAACACTCGACTGGTAACCCTGGACCTTCGGGTCACAAAATCAAGAAAGGTGAAGAAATAAAAGATACTCACGAGAATGAGAATTCTCATGGAAATTCAAGGTCATTCTCTCGAATTGTTCACCCATTCGTTCCCTGCATAATGAACATCCCAATTCCTCGGGATGTCAAGATTACAACAGAAAAATATAACGGCAAAGACCCCCAAGAACATCTGGAACAATTCCAGACAAACATGATGGCACAAGACGTGGCAGATCCAATAGCATGTCGACTGTTTCCAACAACCATGAAGGAGACAACACTTAGATGGTACTCAGCGTTACCATCTAATTCGGTACAAAGTTGGGAGGACTTGACCAACCAATTCCTCGTACGATTTGCAACCAGCAAGGCCCAATACAAATCTACACACGCGCTAAAAACTGTACGTCAAGGATCAAATGAAACTTTGCACGATTATCTGAACAGATTCTTTAATGAAGCACTCTTGGTCAGAGACCTGGATCCACAAGCCTCACTACATATCATCACAGAAGGATTACTTGATGACCCTTTCTCTATGTTGCTAGCCAAACAGCGACCACGCACCATAGAAGAACTTAGCGCACGATCAGAAAAATTCATCAACCTTGAAGATTATAAGCGTTCATGAGAAATTTCTAACACCAGGGCCGACACAGATAACTTTGAAAAAGATGTCCAGAAGAATTTTCAACGAAAATTCTGTGAAAAGATAAAATGGGGAAGATACGACAATTACACCCCTTCAAATACGTCCCAAAGACGGATTTTGAAAGAAGTATTCCAAACAGGGTATGTACGGGTTAACAAGCCTCCCCCAATGCCAAAAGGAGTTCAGCGCGATGAGACCAAGTTTTGTGAGTTTCACAACGACAAAGGACATACAACTGAAAAATGTTTCGCGCTCAAAAATACTATTGAGGCACTCATAAGAGAGGGAAAACTCCAGGAATTCGTCTCCAGCTACAGGGAATACAAGACGCAAAGAAGACGCGATAGAAGCCCAGATCGCGACCCGAACCCTAATGAACAAAGGGCACATCCCAGGAGAAACTATAACCCAGCTCGTAACAAAGATCGAAGAAATGACAGAGAGGCTTCAACTGACAGACGTCAAGGGACTCCACCGCGAAACAGACAGCAAATCGCGCAACAACAACGCGATGGACTACCAAATAACGCGGCAGGAGTTTTAGCCACTATCGCCGGAGGATCAGCGGGAGGAGGTGCGACTAAATCTCAACGCAAAAAACATTTAAAATCAGTAATGACAGTGCACGATCATGCTCGCCCTTCCACTTCTCGCGATCAAAGACAGGCCATAAGTTTTGACGATGATGACTATGGCGACATCCTCCCAGACCATGATGACCCACTGGTAATCTCAGCTTGCATGGCTAATCTCCAGGTAAAACGTATTATGATTGATAATGGTAGTTCAGCTGATATTATTTTCTGGGATGCTTTTCGTGCAATGCACATCCCAGAGGAACATCTACTTCATGGATGTTCGGACTTAATTGGCTTCGCTGGGAAATGCGTACAACCCAAAGGCACCATTGAGATGTGGGTAACCTTTGGAATCATGCCTCTGGCTCGAACTATCAAAGTACGATTTTATGTGGTTGAGTACGCGTCTGCATATAACATCATTCTAGGAAGACCAACCATTGTCGTGCTAAAGGCAATCATCACTATGCCCCACCTTCTAATGAAATTTCGTGACAAATCTAGCCCGGTAGTTGCTATTAGGGGCGACCAAAAAACAGTGCGTAGCTGTTATAATACCAGCTTACGAGCTAAAATTCCAATACAGCCAGATGACAAAGTTAAAGCGTCAGTCAATATGACTGGTCTTGATATGTGCGAAGATCTGCGCGATACACGTCCTCAACCAGATGGGGAATGTAAGAACCCGCACCGTTAATTAAGGTATTTAATTAATTAATTATGCAAAATTAAGAAATGATTCCATAATTGACCCTAATAATTATTATGAGGCTTTAATAATTATAGTATGTGAGTAATAATGCTGAAAGTCGCTTTTCGGAAGAAAAGTGTAGATACCGGTTCTGCTAGTCGGTATAAATGCGTACCGAAAAAGTATCCCAGAAAATTATAATAAGTGCATGTTAATTACTAGAATAATATGTAGAACTTGTAAAACGAGTTTCAAGTCCAGATAATGAGAACTGGTGCTAGAAACCGGTACTGGCTTGGAAAAGCGCGTACCGGAAAGGTGCTCAGAAAATTACGAAAAAAATATGATAATTCTTAGAAAAATGTCTAGTTTCAGAATCCAAAATTTGGGATTAAAATGCTAAGCGTAGTAATTAAAGTTAATACTGTGTGTTTAATTGTTAAACCACTATTTAAGCCTTAGTGGGCACTAAACCCTAGAAAACAGTTTCTCTACGTGAGTGTGTGAGGGTGGCTGATCAGCTTGGCTGCTCCTTGGGGTTTCTTCTCCATTTTGGGTCCAAGACACTTCCTTTCTTGATTTTCTTCACCTCCAAACACTTAAGCCTTGTGTGAGTGGGAAATGACCAACCTTCAACTTACATTTTCGTGTGCAGAGAGACACAGAACCTTGGAGTGACCTTTTGAGCTCCAAGAGCACCTCTTGTTGGCTGATTGAGCTTTGGTAA